TTGGTAGAGCGGCAGACTGTAGATGGTGCAGTAATCTGTTGGTCCCTGGTTCGATTCCGGGTTGCCGGACTTTCTTCGTCCTGGCCTCATCTGCTACTCCATCCAAGCATGCAGATGGATACTAGGTGGCTCTCTTGCATGAATAGAACAGTTCTTTACTTAAGGCGGCACGCTCCACCACCACTGGCCTGCTGCTTTGTTCAGGGAAACTCACGATAGCTATCATAGGACTGCACTCAGGCAGCAGCAACGACTATCGACCGCACGCTGTCGTTTGTGCTCACTTTGCCGTATTGCAACTGGCAGAAACCCTGCTCGATGTCTGTCTGGAGATTTTTGGCTTTTGGAAGCGGTAGGTCTCTTTGTCTGTGTTTTAGCAAGCCTGTCCGAGGTGAATAGGTGCATCGATCTTTGCGTGGATGCTTGCTAGGGAGAGCCGAATAGGTATTGGGCTGCACCGAAGAATGCTGGTGCATGGCTTGAAGAGGGTGACGTGGGCGCGTGCTTCTCTGGAATCGAGTTGTTTTAGCAGTTGCAGCCAGTGGGACTGGCCGTCTTCTCTCCGCATGAGCGACTGCGCGGTTGCGGAGCTCTCATGAAGCCGTCGGAGTCAGAAGTAGGCCAGCGGGCTTTTAAAGAGCTCGTTGCGTAAGCGTTTGAGCCCACTGCAGCTCACGGCATTCCATGAAGAGGGGCGAATCCTCTGAATCCTCTGGTTACACTGAATGGCACCGCATTGTGGAAAGAGGCACTGGCGACCTGGAAACCGTATTGCCAAAGCAGGCTGCCCGGCTCTGTAGCACCGATTTTGTCGTGGTGCTTCTGGAGGGTTTACAAATTCAGCCTATTGTGTAATTCGTCCTCTCCTGCGGCCAACGTACGGCTAGAAGTTTCGCCGCAACTACCAACATATAACCACTGCGAACCGCCGGGAAACAGAAATTCAAGCTGAAGGCGCCAACGCCGCGGTTCTGCAGTTTCCAAGATTATGTACCGAGTAAATTCGTTGAAGCAGTTAGACTTCCTTACCTTTGCACGATGGGTTTGTTACACATCAGCTGACTTTTCAAGTTGATGTTCCCTGGTCTCCTAACTCTTCACCGGACTACAGTCGTTTGAGCGGATGCTGGAGATGGTTCTCAGAAACAAGCCCCGTGTGTGTGTGACTCCCTCCACAGCCTTCAGAAGTTCAGTGCTTTACGCATGCAGAAAGCGCAGGAACGCCGGGATAAAACTACGACAATCGACGTTCGGAAGGAACATCAAACCTCTTACTCCTTGCAGCAGTAATTGCACCGAGCTGTGCTGCAACTCATCTTATCTCAAGCTGACTTCTTTCCCCCATCCCTTGAGCAGCTGTGCCCAGAACATTTGCAAACTGGCGAGGCTGTCAGCTGCTTCTTTGGAACTTTTACTGAAATTCTTTTGCCCGATGGAAGCTCACGTCTTACCTCGGGTAGGCTCACCCCCTCCCGTCAGAGTAAGTCCTCTATTACCATGGTATTGATGCACAGACGGTTTAATGTTTAACGCTCTTCTCTGTTATTTCTGTTAAGTGCATCACCTCAGGTACGCATGCCTCAGGGTGTCTGCGCAGCTCCTGTGAGAGGTAAGAAGAGCATATTGAATTCCGTAGCCTCGTCGTCCTGTGTACTTATTCGGGCATCTTTTCTCTAATTATTTTTGCTACTTTGTCTATTATTTTGTGAATTTGCTGCATTATTCTCATGTATGCAATGTAATCTCATCCTCCTCTCTGGGCCCTCGAGCGGGAGCAGGGGGTTGGGGCGTGCGGGCTCCGTGTAAGAAACAGTTGTCTTCTTAACCTAAAAAGAAGAAGAAAGGTATTTAAATATACAGGATCTGCAATTAAATGTAATTGAAAAACATATTGTTGCTTGGGAATGGCGGATCTCCCTAGAGGTTCCGCCTCCCGTTCGCGTAGGTGTCCATACACCGTATTGGGCGTAGAGAGAGGCGCCTCTCCTAACACCATTAAAAAGGCTTTTAGACGTAAAGCCCTCTTATATCATCCTGACAAGCAAAACAAAACAACACAAAACGCAACGCAGGCTACAGGTAATACACAAGAAGCCACTCACCAGCCTTCCCATGGGGGCCCCCCGGGGGCCCCCACTGTACCTTCTTCACCAGTACCCTCTCAAGGGGCTTCAGTATCCTGCGTAGAGGCCCCTGGAGGGCCCACCACTGGGGCTGTAGAAGGGCCTTCTCTTGGAGCTACGACGGGGGCCCCCAACCCGCTTATATCAGGGGCCCCTTCGGGGGCCCCCAGCGTTCCCACGTCAGAATTAAAAGAGGGGCCCCAAGGAGGTTTGGAGGGGCTAACGTTTTTGGATTTGTTGGAGGCGTATGAAGTGTTAACGGTGGAGCAGAAGAAGTGCGCTGAAGATAAAAACTATATGAGTAAGCAAGAGACAAAGTTAGGTATAATAACTATAAGGCCCTTCTACTTGAGATTGCTGTATGAAATATGCTTCCCTTTCAGGTGTATGTACTGTTGCGGGGCCTTATCGGGTGTATATGCCTGTGTTGCATTCATCATAGAGCATCGCTACGCCAAACAAATTCAGTTAGCAGCAGCAGCAGCAGCAACGGCAGCAGCAACAGCCACAGCATTTGCAGAAGCAACACCAGTTTAAGTAGCAGCACAAGTAAAAGCCACTACAGCAATAGCAGTTTTGAAAGCGACAGAAGCAGCACGTCTGCACGAACCGCAGCAGCATCGGCTGCAGCAGAAAGCGCAGAGTGATTGAGAGCAAGTGCAGCAGAACCAGCAGCAACAGCAGCAGCAGCAGCAGAAGTGGGCATCCAAGGTGTATATACGTCCGTGCAGAGAGTGCAGCTCCTGTGGAGTTTGTATTTCTCGTCTTTCATTGAATTAAGCAGCATTTAAACCCCACATTTGCTCTTTAGGAGACTGTATTAAATGCATAGTAAATATAATTAGGTATTTTGCTTCAAATGCTGCTGCTGCTGGTGCTGGTTTTTGCGGTGTATGTACAGTGAATGTTCAGTGCTGCATTCGTCACGTGTATGTGGGTTGATGATTGCATTTGATATATTCTTGTGATGCAGCACCCCTAAACCCTAAACCCTAAACCCCAGACCCTCCTTATAACGAGCAAACACGTGTTTGTGATGTGTTGGGGTGTATAGGCACATCGCAGCACACGGCTTGCGTACGGCTAAGTGATATGGAGGCTTTGAGCTCCACTTTATTTGTTTTTGTTTGTCGTTGTGGCGAGGAGATCCCCGTAGATTTAACAGACATTCAGTCTGAAGCACAACCTTATGAAGAGATCTGCTCACAGTGCGGCATTTCATACTTCTTTGTGGACGCCTGACAGCTGCTGCAGCTGCTGCTGCAGTTGCTACTGCAGTTGCTGCAGCAGTTGCTGCTGCCGCTGCTGCAGCAGCAAATACTTCACTTTTTTTTTGAAAAACAAAACTGCTTTCGTTTGTATTGCATCACTGAGATGAATTCAAGTTGCGCGGTGCATGTACACCTCAAACCCCCAGCTACGCTCAGCCCCAACTGTCTTCTTTTATCCACCATGCATGCAGCAGCAGCAGCAACAGCAGACGGGCGATTTTTTCAGCATTTCATCAGAGAGGTTTGATACCAAAACTCAGATCCGTTAGCTAGCTAGCTAGCTAGCTAGCTGTTTGCTAAGGTGTGCACAAGCGAATGCTGCGCCGCATCTTCAAACTCCGCACAGCTACGCCAATACTTGCCGCTGCAGCTGCAGCAGCTGTTGCTGCAGCTGCACCTGTTGCTGCTGCTGCTTGTGTGAGGTGAAGGGGCCCTTTGTCTCCTCAGCAGCTCGCCCTAAACCGTACGGCAAAATATTCCCACCTGGCTAGCTAGCTAGCCAGCTAGCTCGTTAGTGCATAGATATCTAGCTAGCTAGCTAGCCAATTCATGTGCTAGATGCGGTGGGGTCGGCCGACCTTATCAGCACTCATAAACAAGGCCGTCGTGGACACTGCGCACACATACAAACCCCAAACCCTAAACCCTAAACCCTAAACCCTGAACCCTCACAGTATCCGCGCATAGCCCTTTTGAGTTGAGTTCGTGGAGATTCCGCTGAACCCTAAACCCTAAACCCTAAACCCTATGGGTGCCAAATACTTGGCGTTGAGTTCGTGGAGACTTTGCTAAACCCTAAACCCTAAACCCTAAACCCTAAACCCTCACAGTATGGGTGCCGAATCTTTGGAGTTGAGATCGTGGAGACTTTTTTGGAATTCTTCGGCTGAGGGTTGCAGCAAACCGCGCGAAAGGGCGCGTGCAGAGACCTGAAGAACAAAAACAAAAATGAAGATAAAAAATAATTAATAAATACAATAAATAATAAATGCAGCTAAAATAAAACGCCAATTAAAATAATATTGAATAATACAAACACTAAAAACAATAAAACAACAAATGAAACAAACATTATGAACAAAGCGAGGGAAATACAATGCAAAACAAATGCAAAAAATAAAACAACAAATGTAATTATATTATAATGTTAAACAAAGCCAATAAAATAAAATATTGATAAAACGCGAAGAAATGAGGAACGAAACAAAGGCAATAAAATACAACTAAACAACAAACGCAATAAAATAAAATCCATGCATGCATGCATGCAAACAGACAAATGCAATAAAAGAGGTGGAACGACAACGTGAATTAAAACGAACGAAAAATAGAAAAACACCAAACCCTAAACCCTAAACCCTAGAGAGGATAAAACTGCAAAGTGCAAACGAATTCACAGATGCATGCAATCCAAAGAGAGACAAAAGGAGAAACAAAAAATAAACAAATAAATTGATACAAAAGAAAACAAACACAAAAACAAACGAGCAAAGAGAAAGAAGCAAAGAAAGATAAACAAGCAGAAACAAACAAAGACAAAGAAAGATAAACAAGCAGAAACAAACAAAGACAAACGAAAACAAGCAAATACAAACAAACAAACAAACAGAAACAAACAAAGACTAATAAAACTCACCGCCTCTAGAAGAGCCGCTTCACTGACACCGCTGCCTTGATCCAGTTCTTTAATACAGTGCAAAATTAAACTCTGTACAATATCCGAACTGTACACAACATAGCAGCAGCAGCAGCAGCAGCAGCAAGTCCACAAGCAGCAGCAGCAAGTCCACAAGCAGCAGCAGCAGCAAGTACAGCAGCAGCAACAGCAGCAAGCACACAAGCAATAGCAGAAGCCACACCAGCAGAAACAACACCAAACAGACACAACAGCAGCAGCAAATACTACGCACGTAGCAGCAGCAGCGCCAGCAACATCGTTTAACAGCCGCAAACATAGCGGAATCCCAATCGCCAGCTAGCTGTCTAGTTATCTAGCTAGCTAGCTAGCTAGCTAGCCAAATAGCTAGCTAGCTGTTTGCTTGGCTACTTGGCATACCTGAGTCCTTGAGCGTGGAGAGACTGCAGCGCTTCGTTCCTCTCCCTTGCTTCTGCTGCTGCGTCTCCTCCCCCCGCTGCTGCTGCTGCTGCTCTCCTCGTGCGCCTTTTCTTCGTTTCGCCTATCTCCAGGCCCTCCATCTCCTGCGCCATCGCCTCATCTGCAGCAGCAAACGCAGCAGCAAATGCAGCAGCAACCGCAGCACGTCGTACAGCAGCACATGGGCAACTGCCTACATGAGCAAACGAAAGCAGCAGCAGCAGCAGCAAACGCAGCAGCAGCAGCAAATGCAGCAGCAGCAGAATGTCACCTTCATTGGCGGGGCCCTTTCCTCTTCTCGGTCTGCAGCATACAATCACAACTGCTGTTCTTATTATTATAATAAAATAATAGTTATATATAGTGTATATTAAAAAAAAAATATATATATATATATATAGCAAAACAGATATATATATATATATATATATATATAACTAGTATAACAACAGTAATAGCCAGACGCAAAAGAATAAAACAGCAGCAGCAATAAAACAGCAGCAAAAATACACAAAGCAATTTGAGTGTATTGAGGAGTTAAAAGAAGAACAATAATAGATAGCAAAAGACAATAATATAAAAAGTAAAGATAAAGGTAGCAATAAAAATAATAAAATAATAATAGTGCTGCTACCTCTTATGCTGGCTGTCGGCTGCTTTTCTTCTTGGCTTCCTCCTTCGTGCAGGTGCTGCTTCTTCTTCTTCGTCTGTCTCTGTCTCTGTCTCTGTCTCCTCATCTCTAAATGTGTCCTCCCCAAACAAAGTGTGCAGCAGCAACTGCTGCGCCACCTGCACGTCTTCCTGCAGCAGCAGCAGCAGCAACAGCAGCAGAAGGGATAGCAGCAGTACCAAAATACGCGGCAGCACCACCGCCGACAGCAGCAGCAGCAACAACTCCACTAGCAGCAGGAGCAGCATGCAAAGAAAGCAGCAAAAGCCAAACAAAACAACAGCAACAACAGCCCTAAACAGCAGCAGCAGCATATCAACAGCAGCAGCAGCAGCTTACGGTTGTAATCCATCTTCTAAGGCGAAGCTTTGCATGCGCAGCAGCAAGACGAACGGAGGCTTCAAGTGTACGTACAGTTACTGGCTGCAGCAGATTGTTTGTTGCTGCTGCTCCTTCTTCTCTCTGCTGCACAGCCCTCTGTCTAATAGTTGTATAGAAATCTGCAAGAGCTGCAGCAGCAGACTCCGATAAACGAGGCCCCTCCTGCTGCTGCTGCTGCTGCGGCAAATCACCATCTTCAACTGCTGCTAAGCCCCCACACCGAACCAACTCGATGTACTTGCGCAAAAACTCGTGCGTCAAACACTCGTGCTCCCGCCTAAACCACAAACCCTAAACCCTAAACCCAAAACCCTAAGTAAAACAAGAGTCAAACACTCGTGCGCCCGCCTAAACCCTAAACTCTAAACCCTAAAACTATCATGGGCCAAGCAGCCTTCCTCCCGTCCTCATCACAAACCCTAAACCCTAGGCCCTAAACCCTAAAGAAATCAAGATTCTTCGCAACTACAACCCCACCACCCTGCGGCGATCTGCTGCTGCTGCTGTTGCTGCTGCTGCTGCTGCGTTACCCTTGTTTGTCATAGTAGAGCATTTCATTTCTGTGGTAGAAGGCTTTGGTTGGCTCTGCTTCTTGCTGCTGCAGATCTGCTGTTGCTGCATGCGAGGGTTTGTGCATGTCGCTTTGGGGCTGGATAAAGCTGTCTCCTTGCAGGCGCTTGTCTCCTCCTGCTGCTGTTGCTGCTGCTGCCGCTGTTGTTGTTGTTGCTGCTGCTGGCTTCGCCTTCTCTGAGACATTTCGCAGCACCGCCTCCGCTAAACGCTCGTCTTCTTCACATGAAGTTGAGTCCCTGCGTCACAAACCCTAAACCCTAAATCCTAAACCCTAAACACCAAACCCTAAACCCTGCAATAACCCTGCAATAACCCATGAGGAGCGAGGCATTGCACCATAGAAGAGAGCACCTAGTGCAGCAGCAAAGCAAACATTTATCTGCTGCTGCAGCGGCAGCAGCACCTGCTGCAGCAGCAACGTCGCGGGAAGCAACAGCACGCGACACAATGCCAGAGCAGCAGGAGAAGCAGAGAAGCAACATCAGCACCAATACAGCAGCAGTATAACAGCAAAGCCAGCCGAGCAGCAACAGCACCCGCAACAACAGCAAAGCAGCACCACCAGCAGCAGAAGCAGCAACAGCAGCAGCAGAAGCAGCAACAGTAACAGCAGAGCAGCACCACCAGCAGCAGCAGAAGCAGCAACAGCACAGCAGCACTAGCAGCAACAACAGAAGCAGCAGCAACTGCAACAACAACAGCAGCAAGAGCAGCAGCAGCGTATGTTGACCTGAGTATGAATATAAGATCAAATCTGCTAAGAAGAGAATCTTCAAAGGCTACTTGCGAAGAAAACGGCAGATCGGGGCTCCAGCACCCATACAGCGGATTTGCTGCTGCCAGCACCGAACATCTGTTAAAAAAGGTAGAGACAAAAGAAAGAAAAAGTAGAAAAAAAGAATATTAAGAAAGCAAAAGAAGAAAAAATAATATCAAGAAAGAAAAAGAAAAAAGAACTAATAACTGAGAAAAAATAACAGAAGAGAGAAAAAGAATGAAGAAAAAAGAAAAAGATAAAGACAGAGCCATCTACAGTCAGACAAAGGAGAGAAGAAAGAAAACAAAAAACAAAAAACAACAAAAAGAAGCAAAAGTAAAAGACGAAGAAGAAAAAGAAAAAGAAGAACAGAAAGAAACAGAAGCATGAGAAGAAGAAGAAGAAGAAGAAGAAGAAGAAGAAGAAGAAGAAGAAGATGAAAAGGAAGAAGAAGAAGAAGAAGAAGAAGATGATGATGAAAAGGAAGAAGAAGAAGAAGAAGAAGAAGAAGAAGAAAAGGAAAAAGAGCAACAAAACAACCAGAAGAAGAAGAGGAGGAAGAAGAAGAGGAAGAAGAAGAAGACGAAAAAGAAAAAGAAAAGCAAGAAGTAGAAGAAGAACAACAGCAACAACCAAAAGAAGAAGAAGAAGAAGAACAGCAACAACCAAAAGAAGAAGAAGAACAGCAACCAGAACAATCAGAAGAAGAAGAAAAGAAGAAAAAGAAAAAGAAAAACAAGAAGACCAGAAGAAGAACAACAACAACGACAAAAATAACAAACCAGAACAAGAAAAATAAGAATGAGAATAAGAATAAGGATAAGAAGAAGAAGAAGAAGAAGACAAAGAAAAAGAAAAAGAAAAAGAAAACAAAAGAAGAAGAGGAGAAGAAGAAGAAGACGAACCTGGCATTAAGAGTCGTATGGATGCCTGCTTTAGCGACGGAGACAGTTTGCTGTTCCATGACTTCATGAATTGCTGCTCTGTCTCCTTGCTGCATTTTATCGAATTCATCAATACAAACAATATTTTTATCAGCCATTACCATCGCCCCTGCTTCAACTCTTCTCTCCATCGTATCTCCGTCTGTAGCAACAGCAGCAGTTAGACCAACGCCGCTGCTGCCTCTGCCTGTAGTACTAATAGCACCCGGCAGCAGCCGCAGCACGAATCGCAGCAGCTGAGATTTCCCTGCTGAAGGATCTCCTAATAGCAGCACATGAATGTCTCCTCTCACACGATGCCCAATGCTGCTGCTGCTGCTATTGTTGCTGCTGCTGCTGCCCAGGCTGCTGCCCCCGCACAGCTGCAGCAGCAAACCCCGCTTCACCAAGTCGTGGCCGCATACAGCTGGAGCTACAGACCGAGCCATTACCTGCATGCAAGACGAAATAAAGTTGTATTCAAAAAAACATCAATAAACAGAAAAACAAACAAAATATACTAGCAAAAATGAAGAAAAAATAAACTACGCAGCAGAAATCAGCAGCAACAACTAAACATATCTCTTCGTCTCGCCCACAACAGCAACAGCAACAACAGCAGCACAAATACTGCTGCAACAGCAACAGCAGCAATAGTAACAGCAGCAGTAGCGGCAGCAGCAATAGTGGCAGCAACAGCAGCAGAAGCAGCAACAGCAGCAGAAGCAGTAATTGTAGCAATAACAGCAAAAGCAGCAGCAATAGATGCAGCAACTGCACCAGTAGCAACAAAGAAACAGCAGCAGGAGCTGCAAGCTGACCTCTAGCAAATCCCTTCTGCTTGCGAAGGTTTTTATATTCATCAAATCCGCAGGCAGAGACTGCAGCATTGACGCACGAGCTGCTGCGTTCAGCACCTGCAGCAGCATCAGCAGCAAGAGAGCAGCAGCATAAGGCTCCAGCAAATGACAAAGAGGCGCAGCTGCAGCACCAGCACCAGCAAGGGGGCAGCAGAATCAGCAAGAGAGTAGCAGTAGCAGCACGAGAGCAGCAGAATCAGCAAGAGAGCAGTAGACGCAGCAAGAGAGCAGCAGCAGCAGCAGCAGGAGCAGCAGCAACAGCAGGAGCAGCAAACCTCAATATTATTAGCGACGAGGAGGGGCTTAACATATCCAGTAGTTTGATTATTTGCTGCTGATGCTCGGGG